GAGCTAGGAGTCCCATAATGGGAGCTGGGGGTCCCATAATAGGAGCTGCGGGTCCCTATAATGGGAGAAGGGGGTCTTCATGGTGGGAGCTGGGGGGGTCCCTATAATGGGAGCTGGGGGGTTCTCATGGTGGGAGCTGGGGGTCCCCACAGTGGGAGCTGGGGATCCCTATAATGGGAGCTGCGTGGTCCCTCGATGGGAGCTGCGCCCTCCTCCTGCAGAACTGCCTTCCCAGTAGCACAGCACAGCCATCACAGTGCTGCCCCCCAGCACAGCTCAGCTCCATCCCAGCACCTGCTGGGCTCTGGGATCCCTGGGACCAGTAAGCACGGACAAACGGACAACACCACAACGGCACCAAATGCCCTTAGGGACGCTGCCCCCCACATCTCCTGATGCTAAAAAACGTCTCCTCGTTACAAAACACTCCACCTGATCGGGATGTATTAAGGTAATTAACCCGAAGGCAACGACTGGTAAAACTGCCAATACCCACCCACCTACTGAGCACATTTCTGCAGCGATCGTGAGCTGCTGTTCAACAGTTTGCACTGCTGGGAGAACAGCGATGCCCCATTTCTGAGCCCCCCCAGCACCCTGCAGCTGCATCCCATCTCTGTGCAGCACCCGACTGAACGAGGCCCAGTTTAATGCTGCAGCAGGAGAGAAATGGGAAACAACTGGGTTTGTGCCTCTGCTGTTCCTTTAGGTGCTGTGATGTCCTTACAGATCATAGAGCTATGGGATGGTTGGGTTGGAAAGGTCCTTAAAGATCACAGAACCACAGGGTGGTTGGGTTGGAAGGGACCTTAAAGCTCAAAGAACCATGGGATGGTTGGGTTGGAAAAGTTGGGTTGGGAAGGTCCTTAAAGATCACAGAACTACAAGATGGTTGAGTTGGAAAGGTCCTTAAAGCTCAAAGAACCACAGGGTGGTTGGGTTGGAAAGGTCCTTAAAGATCACAGAACCATGGGATGGTTGGGTTGGAAAGGTCCTTAAGGATCACAGAACCACAGGGTGGTTGGGTTGGAAGGGACCTTAAAGCTCACAGAACCATGGGATGGTTGGGTTGGAAAGGACCATAAAGATCACAGAACCACAGGGTGGTTGGGTTGGAAGGGACCTTAAAGGTCACAGAACCATGGGATGGTTGGGTTGGAAAGGTCCTTAAAGATCACAGAACCACAGGATGGTTGGGTTGGAAAGGTCCTTAAAGGTCACAGAACCATGGGATGGTTGGGTTGGAAAGGTTCTCTCCATGACATTCATCTCATTTCTTTGCTGCCTGAGGGTCAACAACTGGGACAACATAGAAGAGCTAGAAGTGGAATGGATCTTAGAGATCAGAGGATCATAGAATGGGAGGTGTTGGTGGGAGGGTCCTTAAAGATCACAGAACCACAGGATGGTTGGGTTGGAAGGGACCTTAAAGCTCAAAGAACCATGGGATGGTTGGGTTGGAAAAGCTGGGTTGGGAAGGTCCTTAAAGATCACAGAACTACAAGATGGTTGAGTTGGAAAGGTCCTTAAAGCTCAAAGAACCACAGGGTGGTTGGGTTGGAAAGGTCCTTAAAGATCACAGAACCATGGGATGCTTGGGTTGGAAAGGTCCTTAAAGCTCAAAGAACCATAGGATGGGTGGGTTGGAAAGGTCCTTAAAGGTCATAGAACCATGGGATGGTTGGGTTGGAAAGGTCCTTAAGGATCACAGAACCACAGGATGGTTGGGTTGGAAAGGTCCTTACAGCTCATAGAACCATGGGATGGTTGGGTTGGAAAGGTCCTTAAAGATCATGGAGATCATGGATCCATGGGATGGTTGGGTTGGAAAGGTCCTTAAAGATCACAGAACCACGGGATGGTTGGGTTAGAAGAGACCTTAAAGCTCAGCTTTGCTCTCTGCAGTGCTGCCATCCCGAATCCTTTCCTGCATTTTGCTGCCTCCCAATCCTCACCCTTCTTCTGTTCCCTGCTGGAGCTTCTGAAATCTACTGACCCACTGCTGCTAAATGAAACAGAGTTAAAATTAGCTGCGAAGCACTGTGAGAAAAAAAAAAAAGAAAAAAAAGCACTCGCACACAAGTCATCCAGAAACTAAAAATTATACGGGGATATTTAAAGTTAGAAACAAGAGTCCCAACGTTTTCGAGCTGGCTGCAGTCCCCTGGCATGGGCTGAGCAAGGCACGAACGTGGCTGAACAGAACACAGATATTAAAGGGGAAAAAAGGAACTAAAAACGTGGCTCTCACCTCCAAAGAAAAGTTTCCCTGCATCCATTCAAGCAACGCA